TTTGTCAGTTAATTAGTTATTTTGTCAGTTAGTTAGTTAGTTTGTCAGTTAGTTAGTTAGTTTGTCAGTTAGTTAATTAGTTTGCAGTTAGTTAGATTGTTTGCAGTTAGTTAGTTAGTTTGCAGTTAGTTAGTTGTTTGTCAGTAGTTAGTTAGTTTGTCAGTTAGTTCGTTAGTTTGCAGTTAGTTAGATTAGTTTGCAGTTATTTAGTTCGTTTGTCAGTTAGTTAGTTAGTTTGTAGATAGATAGTTAGTTTGTCAGTTAGTTAGTTAGTTTGCATTGATATTAGTTAGTTTGTAAGTTAGTTAGTTAGTTTGCAGTTAGTTATTTAGTTTGTCAGTTAGTTAGTTCGTTTGTCGGTTAGTTAGTTAGTTTGTCAGTTACATTGTTAGTTTGTCAGTTAGTTAGTTAGTTTGCATTAAATTAGTTAGTTTGTTAGTTAATTAGTTAACATGTCTATTAGTTAGTTTGGTTGTCAGTTAGATAGTTTGTCTGCAGTTACTTAGCCAGTTTGTCAATTAATTAGTTAGTTTGCATCAAATTAGTTAATTTGTCAGTTAGTTAGATTATTTGCAGTAAGCTAGCAAGTTTGCAGTTAGTTAGATTGTTTGCAGTTAGTTATTTAGTTTGTCAGTTATTTAGATAGTTTGCATTAAATTAGTTAGTTTGCAGTTAGTTAGTTAGCTTGTAAGTTAGTTAGTTAGTTTGCAGTTAGATAGTTAATTTGTCAGTTAGTTAGTTAGTTTGCAGTAAATTAGTTAGTTTCTCAGTTAGTTAGATTGTTTCCAGTAAGTTAGCTAGTTTGCAGTTACTTAGATATTTTGCAGTTATTTAGTTAGTTTGCAGTATAATAGTTTGATTGTCAGTTAGTTAGTTAGTTTGCATTAAATTAGATAGTGTGCAGTTAGTTAGTTAGTTTGTAAGTTAGTTAGTTAGTTTGCAGTTAGTTAGTTAGTTTGTCAGTTAGTTAGTTAGTTTGCAGTTAGTTAGTTAGTTTGTCAGTTAGTTAGTTAGTTTGTCAGTTAGTTAGTTAGTTTGTCAGTTAGTTAGTTAGTTTGCAGTTAGTTAGTTAGTTTGCAGTTAGTTAGTTAGTTTGTCAGTTAGTAGTTAGTTTGTCAGTTAGTTAGTTAGTTTGCATTAAATTAGTTAATTTGTCAGTTAGTTAGTTATTTTTTTGCAGTTAGTTAGTTAGTTTGCAGTTAGTTAGTGTCCAGTTCCAAACCTTCACAGCTTCGGAAAGTCCCCATTGTGCCGCAAAATTCTAAACTCCTTAAAGGCACGTACCAGCAATAAACTCGTACGTCAGTCGATGTCGCATCAGTCCCCTTTTAAGATTATTTTTTGGAACTCACAGAAACTTTCTCTTTTACGGTTCTTACGGCCTTGCAAGTATGATTTACAAATCCAGCGAACCTACGACTCTATTGCGTACGTCTCCACCGGTGGTCATCACCTGGGCTCGACCGTCATTTCCGCCCGTACCAAGGCCAGCCCAGGTTCAATCCTTAAACTCAAAATAAATACCTCCAAGTACGGAGGCGGATCCTCGGTTAGAAGACACCCCCCCAAATTTTGACTCCCATTCCAACGGAATTTTCATCTTTAAATACCACCGACAGACTCCGCGCAGGCAGTCTTCATCAAAAATCAGATTCGAAACGACATCACTCTCTCAACCCGAACATATCATTTACACAGGGTTTAAATTACTAGTTATTATTATAAGTGTTATTGTTATCATAAATAGAAATTAGATTGTGTTCAATAAGGTTCTTCACAGTCCTTCCGTCCCATTACATCGTCGCGGAATTCGCGGAAGTGACCTTACAACTCACTTTAATAAAATTGCGATTGCTAGGACGGTTCAAATTGGTCCTTCGAGCCGGATTTAAAGTGCAGTTCAGTGACAGTGAAGGGAATTACAAACACATAGACTAATAAACAATTTAAAATCATAAGCAATGGCCAACGCCGAGTTAAGAGATCTCGTGGCTCGTCGGGGGGTAATCAAGGGGCATCTGACCCAATTCAAAACATTCCTCGTGAAATATCGTGACGAACCTGATACGGTTAAATTATCGGTAAAACTGGCACGCTTGAATAAGAGCTTCGATAATTTCGAAGAAGTGCAAGGCGGCATCGAGCGTCTGGATGAAGGAGGAAACCAGGCTGTTGAAAGGGACACCATCGAAGAATTATACGATGACCTGATAACGTCCGCCGAAAAACTACAGGCAAGCAGCAGGAAACAAAGGACAGAGGCAACACAACCCGGACCCTCGCCTACCTGCTCAACTACGGGCGACAACGGAGTAAAACTACCGAAAGTTGACCTGCCGAGGTTCGACGGACGAGTGGAACAATGGTTGGCATTCAAGGATCAATTTTCATCATTGATCGACAATCAGGTAACCCTTTCCAACATTCAAAAATTGCACTATTTGCGATCCGCGTTATCGGGAGAAACTTCCAGAGTCATCGAATCACTCGACACCACCTCCGAAAATTACCTTCACGCGTGGGAATTATTAAACCAAAACTACGCCAACAAACGATTAATGGTGTGGCGGCACGGAGAATTGTTAATTCAGGCACCCGCGATAGAACGAAATTCAGCCACATCATTACGACAGTTTACAAATCATATCCGCCAACACCTGCGATCCTTAAAGGCACTAGGCCAACCCGTGCAGACCTGGGACACGGTAATAATATTAACGATACTACCGAAGCTCGACCGCGACACGCGCTTGGAATTCGAAGAACCCTACAAACCCGATCAAATTCCGACATTAGAAGAGCTATTAAGTTTTCTTACCGACAAGGCCAGGTGCCTGGAAACCGCCGATGAACACACGAGGCTGATCAATGTCACACCAAGACCAACCATAAGGGCGGTCTCAACCGAGTCGGTAAGGGTATCCCGCCCGAAACCCATACAGACATTCAACACTATCACGTATCCATGCGCTATTTGCAAGAGTACCGACCACCGCGTATTCGAATGCGAAGAATTACACAAACACTCAACACCCAAGCGGATCGCGTTAGTGAAGGAATAGAACTTATGTTCTAATTGTTTACGAAGAGGACATAAGACCGGCCAATGCAGATCGATACGGTGCCGAATTTGCGATCATTCACACCTCACATTGCTCCACGAATACCCCCCAGAGACAATACAAGAATGACAACCACAGACAGGGACCCGACAACACACTTCTTTCACAGCAAGCACGACAACACAAGAGCTAATGACCACTGCTATGATCAGGGTATGCGGAAAGGGAAAGAGAGAAGTCAATTGTAGGACGTTGCTAGATACCTGCTCCACCGCAAACTTTATTAGCGAGGATTTAGTTAATTTCCTACAATTGCCGAAAAGGCAGTGTTCAGTTCCGATAAGCGCACTGAACTCATTATCAACAACATGCAAGCACACAACAACAGCAACCATCTAATCAAACCACACGACATTCGAGAAGACACTCAACTTCTTAATTCTTCCCATGATATCAAATCTTATACCAATCGAATCAATCAAGCACAACGCAAGCATACCATCAAACATCAAACTAGCCGATCCTTCATTCAACCAACCAGCACCAGTCCAAATGTTATTAGGTACGGGTCCCACCTTATCGATTCTTAGCATCGGACAAATAAAACTCCAATCATCACCAGAATCCGAACTCATACTCCAAAAAACCCAACTGGGTTGGATTGTCGGAGGAAGCGTCACCACAGGGCAACCAGACAGAACTCTAGATAAGACAGGAACGTGTTACACGACGACCCTTCAACTGGACATGGACAGATTCTGGAGGCTGGAGGAAGGCCCAACCAAACCATACCTTTCTCCCGAGGAAACGGCAGCAGAGGAGCACTTCGTCGACAATACACACAGATTATCAAACGGCAGGTATTCAGTAGCTTTACCCTTCAAAGAAACCCACAGGCGATTAGGCGATTCGCGTTTAAGCGCATTGAAGAGGTTTTACTCTTTGGAGAAAAAATTGAACACCGACCCAGAATTGCACAAACAATACTCAGCGGTGATCCAGGAATACCTCAAATTGTGACATCTATCCATCGCTGAAAACATCGATCAGCCAGGCTTCTACCTACCATACCACGCTGTGTTCAAGAAGGGAAATCAAACGACAAAGGTGCGAGTGGTTTTCGACGGCTCAGCCAAATCAAGCACAGACGTCTCGTTGAACGATACGTTAATGGTTGGACCGTGCCTTCAGGATGACATATTCGCATTAACAATCAGATTTCGTTTATACAACTACGTCTTGATTGGCGATATCGAGAAGATGTACCGCCAAATACTCATACGAGAGGAAGACCGTAAATTTCAAAGGATTTTCTGGAGAGACACGGACGGAAAGGTAAAAACATATTCCTTAAATACAGTGACGTTCGGATTATCTGCAGCCCCATTCCCTGCAATTCGCTGCATACAACAATTAGCAGACGACGAAAGGGAACACTTTCCAATAGCAGCAAAAATCACAAAACGAGACTTTTATGTGGACGACCTGATCACTGGCACTCAAGGTCGCGACGAAACGAGACAACTGCGAGACGATATCATCGAACTGCTCAAACGCGGCGGATTTCATATCAGGTAATGGGCATCAAACGACATCTCATTATTAAATGATCTGCCAGACGGTACGATAAATTTGTCATTTCATTCTGGCGAGGACACCACATTAAAAACATTAGGTATTTCATGGGATCCACGAAACGACTCCATTGTTCATTCAGTCAAACCGATATCCACCACACAAAAAACAACAAAACGATCCATTTTATCCGAAATATCCAAGATTATTGACCCGCTCGGGCTGCTGGGTCCGGTCATCATCATTGCCAAGATCCTTTTACAACAATTATGGCTCTTAAAGTTGAATTGGGATGAATCAGTGCCGGCCCACATCCACACTACATGGTCCATGTTCTGCTCTGAATTAAACCTACTCAACAACATGACGTTTCCCCGAAAAACCGTGTTGACCAACACCGACGAAGTCCAACTGCATGGCTTCTGTGATGCGAGTGAGAAAGCCTACGGCGCCTGCATCTATTTGCGAGTTTCAAACCAGCAACAGACAGAATGCAAACTCCTCTGCGCAAAATATAAGGTAGCTCCGCTGAAGGTAGTCTCAATCCCACGCTTAGAATTGTGCAGCGCTTTACTACTGGCCAAACTATACCGTACCGTCGTGCACGCCACGGATCTAAAAATTCACAGGACCGTATTCTGGACCGACTCTACCATCACACTGCATTGGATACGCACAGAACCGACCGCTTTAAAAACCTTTGTAGCAAATCGCGTAGCAGAAATCCAAGAAACCACAGTTACATCCAACTGGCGACATGTGCCCTCCGAAGATAATCCTGCAGACATCATCTCAAGGGGACAACTGCCAAGGGACTTCATGGAGCAGTCGATATGGCAGGACGGCCCTTCTTGGATCACCGAGAACGAAACAAATTGGCCCAATTTTCAGCTACAACAAATCGACAACCTCCCCGAAAGACGAGAAAGAGTCTGCCTATTCACTGCTGCCACACCAAACGAAATCTTGCATCGATACTCCAATTTCAACCAACTAATCCGAATTACAGCTTACTGCCTCCGCTTCAGACAATTCGGAAGGTTCAAGGGGAACCTACAGTTGGAAGAATTAACGAACGCGCACAACAGAATCATCAAACTATTGCAAGAAACCATCTTTCACCAGGAGATCCACGATCTGCGCAACAAGGGAACGGTGGACAAACGGAGCAGACTGGCAACACTGTCCCCATTCATCGACGTGGAAGGTCTACTACGGGTCGGAGGCAGATTGAGGCACTCTAATTTAAATTACAATCAGAAACATCCAACAATCCTGCCAAAATCGCATCATGTCACCACCATCATAATTAAACAATACCATCTCCAGAATCTACATACAGGGGCGTTATCCACATTACACAACATCCGGCAAAAATACTGGCCATTAGACGGACGGAACCAAGTCCGAAAGATGATCCGCACCTGCATTAAATGTTTTCGAGTCGATCCTCCGCGCAGCCAGTACATCATGGGTGACTTACCACCCACCAGAATTACGGAAACCCGTCCATTCACCTGCGTGGGTATCGATTATTGCGGCCCATTTTACATTAAGGAGAAAAAATACAGAAACCGAAACAAACTAAAAACTTACGTCGCAGTGTTTGTATGTTTGGCAACTAAGGCGGTACATTTGGAGTTAGTCAGCGATATGACTACGGAAGGTTTCATCGCTGCTCTGCGCCGTTTCATCGCCCGAAGAGGCAAATGCAGCCATATTTACTCGGACAACGGGTCAAATTTCATCGGAGCCCATAACGAACTACGTGAACTACATCTGCTAATGAACTCCACCATACATCAAGAGAAAGTGAATAATTTCTCGTCCGACGAAGGAATACAATGGACATTCAATCCTCCCCACTCTCCAAATTTCGGAGGATTATGGGAAGCCGCAGTGAAGTCCATGAAGCATCACCTCAAAAGAGTAGTCGGACAAAAATTATTCACCTTCGAAGAACTCACCACTTTCGTCGTTCAAATCGAGGCAGTCCTCAACTCACGACCATTAACGCCTCTCTCCTCCGATCCTACGGACCTGCCCGCCTTAACACCGGGTCATTTCTTAATAGGAGCACCACTAACCGACATCCAAGAATTTGATTTCAGATCCATACCACAGAATCGTCTCTCTACATGGCAACACATACAGAAGGTACGACGCGATTTCTGGGCTCGCTGGCATAAGGGGTACCTGAATCAGCTAACCGTACGACAGAAATGGACCCACGGCACACACCCCATCAAGGAAGGTACACTGATCATCGTCCGAGACGACAACTTACCACGCCTTCAATGGAAACTCGCCAGGGTGGTCACCATTCACCCCGGTCGTGATGGGGTCGTTCGAACGGTCACTGTTCGAACCTCGACTTCAACCATAGTTCGAAATATTCGAAGCTTAGCCCCATTACCCCTAGAAGATAAGATTTAATTACAATATCATTATCTACCTTGTACATGCTCCGCACGCGAAACTATTGTATTCTTTTTCTGTACCACTTCGTAACATAGTTTATCAAATTGAACCAACGGTTCAACGGGGGCCGGCATGTCCAGTTCCAAACCTTCACAGCTTCGGAAAGTCCCCATTGTGCCGCAAAATTCTAAACTCCTTAAAGCACGTACCAGCAATAAACTCGTACGTCAGTCGATGTCGCATCAGTCCCCTTTTAAGATTATTTTTTGGAACTCACAGAAACTTTCTCTTTTACGGTTCTTACGGCCTTGCAAGTATGATTTACAAATCCAGCGAACCTACGACTCTATTGCGTACGTCTCCACCGGTGGTCATCACCTGGGCTCGACCGTCATTTCCGCCCGTACCAAGGCCAGCCCAGGTTCAATCCTTAAACTCAAAATAAATACCTCCAAGTACGGAGGCGGATCCTCGGTTAGAAGACACCCCCCCAAATTTTGACTCCCATTCCAACGGAATTTTCATCTTTAAATACCACCGACAGACTCCGCGCAGGCAGTCTTCATCAAAAAATCAGATTCGAAACGACATCACTCTCTCAACCCGAACATATCATTTACACAGGGTTTAAATTACTAGTTATTATTATAAGTGTTATTGTTATCATAAATAAAATTAGATTGTGTTCAATAAGGTTCTTCACAGTCCTTCCGTCCCATTACATCGTCGCGGAATTCGCGGAAGTGACCTTACAACTCACTTTAATAAAATTGCGATTGCTAGGACGGTTCAGTTAGATAGTTTGCAGTAAATTAGTTACTTTGTCACTAAGTTAGTTAGTTAGTTGGTTTGCAGTTAGTTAGTGAGTTTGCATTATATTAGTTAGTTCGTCAGTTATTTAGCTAGATTGCAGTTTGTTAGATAGTTTGCCGTACATTGGTTATTTTGTCAGTTAGTCAGTTAGTTTAGATTGCTGTTAGTTAGTTAGTTTGTCAGTTAGTTAGTTAGTTTGGTGTAAATTTCTTAGTTTGTCAGTTAGTTAGTTAGTTTGTCAGTTAGTTAGTTAGTTTGCAGTTAGTTAGTTAGTTTGCAGATAGTTAGATATTTTGCAGTTATTTGGATTTGTTAGAGCACTCAGGGGCTCTAACTGTATGGTTCCGGACGAGGGAGAAGATTGGGTAGAGAGAATTGGTACAAGTTTTCAATTAACTTTTTTATTACGAAAACATAAATCAAGAAATACAAATTACAAAAAACTTAACCGAACAAAAGAAATTGACAGGGACGACGGCTCAGACCCTTCGGCCGCGTCTCCTCTCTTCCTTTCCTTCTAAGGTCTTCTGTAACAAAAATTATACAAGAAGTATAATTATTTGCGGACAGCTATTATGTTAACGCGCTCGTCAGCTGTTTATCTCTCGCTCCAAGCGACCGTATGGTGTGCTCGAAGGAGAGTTAACTGCCGATTTGGCACAGAAACAAGTGGACTGTATTGTTTTGTTTTGGTCAGTGAAATTCGCTCGCTACGATCTCACCGACGCACGTAACCGGGTAGACGAGATTGTCCTTCGTTCTACCGGGTTCGCTCAGCAATGCCACGGACGGGAAACCAAATGGAGGTTGTAAGGCTCGAAATGGGTATATCCCGCGAACACGCTCACCGTGCGGGTGACGTTCGGACGCCACCCACGCAAGAGGACGCTTCGTCCTGGTACGGGTACCTCGTCGGCGGTTCCTCAGGAACGGCCTGCGGCCTACCCACGCACCTGCCTCGACAGCGTTACCTTATCCTGAAGGAAACGCCCGGCAGCCCGCCGTGGTTCCCTCGTCGGCGGATCTCTTTACGAGGAACTGGCCTGCGGCTCGCCGAATTAGGGCGACGTCCTTTGCAATCACTAACCACCCTACGGTCACAGCCCAGTGTGGTTAACTCACAACTGGTAGTGGGTGTAGCGGTGGAAGGACGGTGCTTCGAACCCCTTTGCTCACAGTGGTCGCTTGTGCTCTACCTTGTCACCTCACGACTGGATCACTGGAGCGTATTCTCTAAAGCCCGGTGCACGGTGAACACAGCGAAGGGATACCAATACCTGGGTATCTACCTTCCGGTTGCACCTACGCCGTACGGCTTGAACGGGTGGTCGAAACTACCACTCCACCGGTCGGTGCACTCTATGTGGTACACCAGACGGGTGGTCCGAGTGGGTTCTTCGTTCCCTTCGATCGGTGAACCACCACCAGGAAATATCAGTATATCGATATTTCCGTTACAGTGGCTCTAAACGTATTCACTTGGAAAGGTCTCAAGGTGCTGAACACCGAGTCCCTAACGTCGCAGTCGCGGCAACGAATTGCAACGTTCAATCACAATCCTGCGTCTACGATCGCATCACGCGCGGCGTGCCCTGCGATCGCTGCAACGACAGGCAGGTTGTCCTTTATTTTCGTGGGAAAATCTCAAGTCGCTTTGACGAGATTTTCCTTGAATGAATCTATTTGCTGTCCGCGTATTAACAAAGAGTGAGCTGAAGGCTTCGACTCTTCGGAGCTCGTGCGAGAAAACGGAGCGAGATCGCTAACAGGTCTGCTCCCGATCGTCGACGGCTCAGTACTGGACCGTGACGATCTGCAAGCAGCGACGGCCCCGGCTGGGCTCCGTCGCGCAAGCGCAGAACCGCGTAGCGACAAAACACGCTTCTGAGCCCGGGCGGCTACGCGCTACATGGACACGATGCGGCGCTGCCGCGTTTCGGCCGTCGATCTCGATTCGATAAATCGATTCTTCACTCTCTCTCTCGGCGCTAACAACACGATTTCTGGAATTTATTCTACGAATCCAGAATTCCAGTGAAGCTGACTAGCAAAAACACGTAAACGGCCGCGGTATACTGAACTGACGATGAAAAAATTCTTCGTCAGCAGAACCTTCTAAAATTACGCGAATTCATGATAGATACGGGAATCGCGGCCGAGTTTTTCTGTCTCCGACTCACGCGATATTTAAACAGGATTGTTACAGTTAGTTAGTTAGATTGTAAATTAGTAGTTAGTTTGCAGTTAGTTAGTTAGTTTGTCAGTTCCATAGTTAGATTGCAGTTAGTTAGTTAGTTTGTCAGTTAATAAGGTAGTTTGCATTAAATAAGTTAATTTGACTGTTAGATAATTAGTTTTTTGTAGTTAGTTAGTTAGTTTGCAGTTAGTTAGATAGTTTGCAGTAAATTAGTCACTTTGTCAGTTAGTTAGTAAGGTAGTTGGTTTGCAGTTAGGTAGTGAGTTTGCATTCTATTAGTTAGTTCGTCAGTTATTTAGCTTGATTGCAGTTTGTTAGATAGTTTGCAGTAAATTGGTTATTTTGTCAGTTAGTCAGTTAGTTAGATTGCTGTTAGTTAGTTAGTTTGTCAGTTAGTTAGTTAGTTTGGTGTAAATTTCTTAGATTGTCACTTAGATAGTTAGTTTGTTAGTTTGTCAGTTAGTTAGTTAGTTTGCAGTTAGTTAGCTAGTTTGCATTTAGTTAGATAGTTTGCAGTTAGTTAGTAGTTTGTCAGTTAGTTAGTTAGTTTGCAGTTAGTTAGATTTGTTTGCAGTTAGTTAGTTAGTTTGCAGTTAGTTAGATTGTTTGCAGTTAGTTAGTTAGTTTGCAGTTAGTTAGATTGTTTGCAGTTAGTTAGTTAGTTTGCAGTTAGATTAGTTAGTTTGCAGTTAGTTAGTTAGTTTGTGCAGTTAGTTAGTTAGTTTGCAGTCGGTTAGTTAGTTTGTCAGTTAGTTAGTTAGTTTATCAGTTAGATAGTTAGTTTGTCAGTTAGTTAGTTAGTTTGACAGTTAGTTCGTTAGATTGCAGTTAGTTAGATTGTTTGCAGTTAGTTAGATTGTTTGCAGTAGTAGTTAGTTTGCAGATAGTTAGCTAGTTTGCATTTAGTTAGATAGTTTGCAGTATTAGTTAGTTTGTCAGTTAGATAGTTAGTTTGTCAGTTAGTTAGTTAGTTTGCAGTTAGTTAGTATTTTGCAGTTATTTAGTTAGTTTGCAGTTAGTTAGTTAGTTTGTCAGTTAGTTAGTTAGTTTGCAGTTAGTTAGTTAGTTTGCAGTTAGTTAGATAGTTTGTCAGTTAGTTAGTTAGTTTGTCAGTTAGTTAGTTAGTTTGCATTATATTAGTTACTTTTGTAAGTTAGTTAGTTTGTTTGCAGTTAGTTAGTTTAGTTTGTCAGTTAGTTAGTTAGTTTGCAGTTAGTTAGTTACTTTGCAGTTAGTTAGATTGTTTGCAGTTAGTTAGTTAGTTTGCAGTTAGTTAGACAGTTTGCAGTTGTTTAGTTAGTTTGTCAGTCAGTTAGTTAGCTCGTCAGATAGATAGTTAGTTTGTCAGTTTGTTAGTTAGTTTGCATTATAATAGTTAGTTTGTAAGTTAGTTAGTTAGTTTGCAGTATATTAGCTTGATTGTCAGTTAGTTAGTTAGTTTGTCAGTTAGTAAGTTAGTTTGTCAGTTAGTTAGTTAGTTTTCCGTTAGTTAGTTTGTCGGTTAGTAAGTTAGTTTGTAAGCTAGATGGTTTGTTTGCAGTTAATTAGATAGCTTGTCAGTTAGTTAGTTAGTTTGGTGTGAATTTCTTAGTTTGCCAGTTAGTTAGATATTTTGCCGTTATTTAGATAGTTTGCAGTTAGTTAGTTAAATTGTAAATTAGTCAGTTAGTTTGCAGATAGTTAGTTAGTTTGTCGGTTAGTTAGTTAGTTTTCAGTTAGTTAGTTAGTGTGCAGTTAGTTAGATTGTGTGCAGTTAGTTACTTAGTTTGCAGTTAGTTAGTTAGTTTGCAGTTAGTTTGATAGTTTGCAGTAAATTAATTACTTTGTCAGTTAGTTAGTTAGTTAGTTGGTTTGCAGTTAGTTAGTGAGTGTTCAAACCGATCAACGGTTCTCCTGTGATAAAGTGAGAGAAGTGTCAGTGATTTGCGTTTCGCGAGAGTGTTCTCTCTCTTCCGAGTGCGTCAGAGCTGCCGGCTCTGGTGGGGAGAGAGGCGATCGGCAACCAAGGAGGCTAGCTTCGAAACGTTCCCCCGTATGTGACCTCGCATGCGCTGTCACAGGCACCGAGCCGACCTTTTTTTTTCGTGGGGAAAATCTTCGAAAGACTCCCTCCCACCTCTTTGGGGAGAGGCGGGAGGGGTGTGTGGGATTCCCCGCGCCCATTATAACGGGCGCGGGACCTACCCACTAAAAACCCCACGGTGACCCTTCCGCACGATTTGGGAGGATACCGGGAATCGCTCGAAGTATACTTCCGGTATCCTCCCCGTGCCCGCGCTTTGCGCCCACCCGCGGGGGGACAAACGGTCCCCCCGGTAATCGCCCTGTCTCATAGCGGCAGGACGAGGTCACATCGTCCTGCCGCCATCCGTCCCGGGGCCGCGTCTAGTGGCGGCTGCGAGCCCCAACTCGCAACCGCCGCGACCCCTTTTCTACCCCTCGGAGGCCGGCAGCTCATGGCCGCACCAGGCCACCGAGGGTGCCGCTCCGTGCGCCGGGACCCGGACAGGAGGCACTGCCACCCCATCCGGTCCGACCCTACGCCCGCCTGGCGGGAGGGGGCTCCTATCAGGACCCCCCTCCCAGCCTGGGTCATGCGCCACGCCGAGGGGGCCGCCCGCGTCGCCTGACGCCCAGGCGACGCTCTCTCGCCACCAAACGAGCGCGAGCTTCAGCACGCCGCTGACGCTCGCGCTCCCTTCCCGCGGTCTCCTTCTGCAACATTACGATTTCGCAGAAGGAGGCCACGGCCCTCCACTTCTCCTCGCTGCCGAGCATGGCGCGCACCATGCCCGGCAGCGAGACATCCCGCCCGATGACGCCGATCAGGACACGGCGTTCACCCTCCCATGCAGCGCATACCTCGAGGGTATGTTCCGCCGTGTCCTGCTCAGCGTCACAATGGCAGCAACGCGCCGTCGGCTCCTTCCCTATCCGGCACAGGTATCTCCCGAAGCTGCCATGCCCCGAGAACACCTGTGCCATCCTGTAAGTGAGGCTTCCATGGCCTCTGTCCAGCCACTCACATAGGAGTGGCCGAACAGCCCCGACTGTCCGGTGCCCCGCGGTAGGCAGAGCCAACCGCTCTTGCCACGCGTGCACCACGGACTGCCGGGCCTGGCGCTTCAACTCGCCCCAAGCAGGTTCCTGCACACCCGGGACCGCCCCCACCCCCGCGCGACGGTCGACGCGGTGACGATACATCATCGCGTGCGACCGCGCGAGGAGATCCATGGGCGGCATCCCCGCAAGAACCGTCGCCGCCTCATGTGACACGGTCCGGTACCCGCGGACGACCCTTAGAGCCATCCGCCTCTGCACCCGACGCAGCATAGTCATGCCGCGCCGGGAGGCCGCCAGGTCGTCCGCCCAGACGGGGGCCCCGTATAGGACCACCGACTGAACCATTGCCACATAGAGGCGGCGAACTCGGCCCGCCGGGCCCCCCAGGTTGGGCAGAATCCGGCCCAAAGCCCCGACCATCCTCTCCAGCCGGGGGACCAGGCAGCGGAAATGCTCCTCGAAGCGCCAGTGGCTATCGAGGATCAGCCCCAGATACCTCATCTGGGGCTTCACCTCGATATTAGCCTCACCCACGCGGATCAGAGGGGGTGGCGGATCCTGCCGAGGTGAATGGAACGCTATCACCTCGATCTTATGGACCGCCACCGTCATCCCCATCCCTCTGATCCGGTCGACGACGCGTTGCGCCCCCTCCTCCGCGAGACGCTTGGCCCTCCCCCAGTGCGCACCGAGCCGACCTGCGACGGGAGCGAGCGGACTGATCAGTCCTGTTCTGTGCGTTATTCCAAACGGGGCTCAAACTCAGCTGCCTGTTAGCTCCTGCTGTTCTGCAGCCTTCTTTTTGGCCTAATCTGAATTTGTCTCGTGGCATTCCGAGGCCAATTCGGACGTCGCTCTTCCTTTTCCTCTCGTGGGTCCGGTGCTTCTGTGTTCCTTTTAGGGATTAGTCTCGTGGTATCCGAGGCCCCCGTTCGAAGGAACACCGAATTTCTTACCAAAGAATCCCGAGCACGTGTGTTTCGTCTCGGGATTTCTCCGCGGTTGGGAATTCTTTCCCGTTCTATCAAGGCTGCTTCCCGTCTCTTGTCGGCTCCCTGTAGCGCGGCTCTGATTTGTACGCGAAATTGATTTGTTAATTTACCATATGGCCGTTTTGAGTTTACGCTATTTTGTATTTTTATTGGTACTGCGTGACTGTATGTATGCCGGCGACTATACGCTTCGCAGCTGCTTTGCTTTAAATAAAAGCTGTACCCCCTTGCCGGGTACTCTGTGTGTTTGTAAAACCAACAGGTCTCGCGTGATTTTCCCGACTTCACGACTATCCTTCCCCAGCATTATGTGTGCCACGCCCTCCACGGCACATTTTATGGTCCTTCGCGCCGGATTTTAGTCAAATCCTAATCGGAATTACGTGAGATACACGCGTTAGTCGTATAAACGGTTATTAAACGGTCCTTTGTTCAATTTAATCGGCACTGTGTCCGGTCATTGCTGTGTACACTCGCGCTCGAGTTTACCAACATGACCTCTGTCTCTACCGTTTCGAATCCTGTTGCCGCGATGTTCGCGGAACAAACGCTCAAATTGACAATACTTTCGAATTTCGTAAGAAATGTTAAGATGAAATGCCAAGGGAATTTTACCACAACATTCCTTCGCGGCCGTTTAAGCATGCTGACTACGCTGTGGGAACAGGTTCAGAATTTCCACGGTTGTATCGTTTCTTCTGTTCCTTCTTCTGAGCAAATCAATTACGGTTATTTTGCAGAGGATAAAATTAGCGTCGCTTCAGAAAACTACCTTGAGGCCTTCGATTACTTGAATGATCAGCTGGCTCTTATAGCTCCCACTCCTTTATCGCCCATTGGGGGGCACAATTCTACCGCGGAACATTTGCTCCCTCAACCTGGCCCTTCGGCCACTATCAAACTTCCGAAGTTGGACTTGCCCACCTTCAATGGGGATTTTAAGAAGTGGCCCCATTTCTCTGACGCGTTCTGCGCGGCCGTCAAGAACGTACAGCACCTTTCGAAGGCGCAGAAGATGCAGTACCTTGATGCCTGTTTGAGGGGAGAACCAAAGGATCTTATCGAGCACCTCGAGATTTGCGACGCGAACTTCGATATAGCCTGGGCATCCCTAGTCTCCGAGTACGCGCATCTCCGTGTGCTGGTCTCGGTACAGTTAGACAGACTTTGTGACCTGCCGTCTGTGCATCACGATAAAATAGACTCTCTAAAAAAGGGGAAAGCGGAGGTCGTCCAATCGCTGGCCGCTCTGAAGAAACTCAAATGCCCCGTAGAGGAAGTCGACTTCCTGGTAGTTCATCTAGCCGTTAGAAGGTTTGATACCGCCACTAGGCGTGACTGGGAAAATTCGTTAGGAGATTCGCGCGTACTACCGAGACTCGAGCAGTTGACCGCCTTTTTAGAGAAAAGAATCCGTGTGTTACTTATGACGCAACCCCATTCTACGGGTCCCAATGTCAGGACGCACAATTTCGTTGAAGCGAAGCCTAAACTGGTGTCTTCTTGCCCCTTCTGCAAGAACGATCATCCGCTTTATGCATGTCCGAAATTCAAGGATATCAACCCTCGAGCGCGGTATGAATTTGTCAGAGGGAAACAGGCCTGTATCAATTGCCTATCCTCTAAGCATACATCACGTGCTTGTCCAAGCAAATTTTCATGCAAGCATTGTAGGAAGCCTCACCATTCGCTGTTACATTTCGAAAACTCAAATAACGTGACGGTTAAACCGAAACAACCAGGGGAGGCCCCGAAGGACCCCCTGAATATAGACGCAACGGCGTGCCGTACCGTTTCTCTTGAACAGGAAACTAATTTAGCTAAGCATGCCCATACTTCGTGCAGGGTATCTCCGCCGACTTCGGAGTGTCCAAGGTCGGTCCCTGCTTTATTAGCTACCGCTTTGGTCCGTGTGCAAGCAGCGGACGGATCTCACGCGATCGTGCGGGCCTTGATTGACCAAGGGTCCGAAGCGACTTTTATCTCGAGCCCCTTAGCTCACGCTCTAAACCTTCCGCGCTATAAGGTCAGCACAACTGTGCAGGGGGTAGGCGGCCTCGTTTTAGGCTCGCTTAAACACGGCGTTTCTCTAACACTCTCGTCG